ATTCTAGGGCGCCTTAGGCCCAGAATGTAAAAAATATTGTAAAACACATTTCGTAATATATAGTCTTCGCTCGAAAAAAAAAAAAAAAAACAAAACACAAAACTTCAGAGCATAGACTGCATTATCTAACGCATATCTAACGATGAGTAGACACTCAAAGAACAATACAAATGCTAGTTCTTTCACATATGCTGAACGGCAAATGTTGAAATATGGGACCATCAAGGCAAGCCTGTCAGTAACATTTGTTGTCAGAGGGCAGAGATACTCACTCAATAAACTAGGAGCGTGTGGGAAAAGACTCACTACGGCCTTACGATTGCTGTTTTCTGTGTCTGGCCAGAGCAAGAGATCCTGTTAGCTGGTAAAGATCATAAAACCTAATTCAACATCTGCCTCAAAACTAACATCTTGATCATTTTTAAGTCCGGAGGGACATCTCGCTTGTAAAGTAAGATTAGCATGTCTACTTGAACGAACTACTGGCCCGTCTATTCACGATCTGTTACCTAGGAGTGCATGTACGAAAACATCCTCTCCCAGAAGAAGGAAATTGCCAGATTATCTGCTACTGCTCAATTCCAAAAAAAGGAGAAGCTTGTACGTGGTTGACATTTTCACTTGGTCTGTTTGGACGATGAGGCGCCTGGAACCGACGGGGTTTTGCTCTGTTCATAGAATGAAGAAGACAAGAAGGCAGAAGCCCAACAAACTGCAGACCTACAAAAGTTTGAGAGTACAGAGACGCAGTTCTTACCAACGGATTCTAAATCATCCGATTCTGTATGTGCAAAAAAATGGATCTTTCTCAGCTTGAATGCACATATTCGTGTCATCTAACCTCACCTTTCACCGATAGTCATCAAAGGGAAAGCTTCCAAGTTTCTGGATCGTGAGTGCTTCAAAACAAAGTCAGAGCTTAATAGCATCCTCTTGCTTATTGTCTTGTTTTTAGCCTTCACTAACACCACAAGCCAAAGCAACCACAATTGATACAAGTAAACTTGAGACTGTTTGTACAGCTGTCGAAAAATCACATCCGATACAGTGAGTTCGTAGGAACAATGACCTTTTTTTGCGTCTCTCAATCTCACACTTTTCTATGCACTAGTATCAAGAAACTGATTGCAATCAAATTCACAACTGCGAAATCAGCACCTGGAGCTTCAACGGAACCTGATTCCAAATCAGAGTATGCATGTCCGGCATGTCTCAAGAGTTTTAAGAATGGGACAAAGATGACTTGTAAGTGTTGCTAGTAATTGGAATGATACAATTCAATGCCGTGCTCTGCTTTGTGGTTTTTTTTTTGCAGGATACTATTCATTCCTAACATGAAATTCAAATTTAGTTCCAAAAGGATGTGGACATGTTGTGTGTGGGCAATGCGCAAACATGTTTATCAAAAAGACTGGAAAGTGCTATGTGTGTGATGTCAAGTGTCGAGACAAGGATCTCATAGAACTGTTTGTCGAGGGTACAGGATTCGCATCAGGTGGTCAAGCAGAAGCAAAGAAAACATTTGTAGCCTTCCAATAATTCATAAGTGTCCATTCTCTTGTTCATATAAATACATGTTCTCTATATCGAACTCATTGCCTTTGATGTAACATTCTTCAAAACAGACTCCCTGAAATTAGATATAGTTTCACTTGGCGATGCAGCCGAGAAAATAGCCGTGCCGGCAACAATGACATTAGCACCAGCAGCAGTACACTTGTCGATATTACCAGCAGCTACACCACCATCGACTTCAATATCCAGGTGTGGGTACTTGGCACGTAATATACGAACTTTTTCCAGGCAGTTTTCCATGAATGATTGGCCTCCGAAACCAGGTTCTATATGTGATGTGTGAGGTCTGGCAAAGAAACACACTAGAAGTGGAGTTACTGACCAACAGTCATAATAAGAACCTGATCCAGCTTATCAGCAAGAGGGAAAACAACCGATACGTCAGTTTTTGGTTTGATGCCACAGCCAGCCTTCATTCCTGCAGCGTGGATCTTGTCGATGAGGTCTGATGGGTTGTCTAGTTGACGGTTGAGGATCAATGTCAGCCAAAAAAACCAAAGAATTTGGTAACAGGATGATCAAAGAGCACATGATTGTAAATTGACGTACTGGTAGCTTCGATATGGAAACAGTACATGGCAGCACCAGCTTTTGCGAAATCGTTCACCCACTAGCAAAGGGAGTTTGTTGTTGTGAAGATAGGATAATGATGGTGGTGTTCAAATCCGATGAAAGAATTTCGAATCAGCAAAACAAAGTTACGCAGCACATCAGTATCCGACATGGTTTCTCAACAGTTCGATCCGTGGGTATAAGCAACGAGAGCCAAGCTCGAACTGACCTTTTCTGGCTCTGATACCATCATATGACAATCTATAATATGTATAAAAAGGCCTCTGATTAGTTCAAAAGCACATCACCACATCAAGCTTTCAAAACTTAAATGTTACCCATAAAGACTTTGTTGTGCTTGCTCAAAGCTCCAATAATGGGAGCTCCCATGGTAATATTTGGCACGAAATGTCTAAATTACAGCAGTACAGTCAGTAATCTATACAATTCCAAGCAAGCTTCATCGGTCACTACAATACCCGTCCATAATATCCATATGCAGATAATCAGCCCCAGCATCCGTCATTCTACGTGCCTCATCAGCCATACATGCGAAATCGCACGATAGCATTGACGGTGCAATCTTTGGTTGTGGGGCACTCATCCTCGTTATGATCGTATGTGTTTTTCTTGCTGTCAAATTATACCCAACACATCTGTAACATGACACGTTCCAAATGGAAGCCGCCCTTTGTAGCAGCCGAGCTACTACTGCCATGGAAGCAGGATGTCGCTACACGTACGCAGTCTCGAGCAAGCACGATAATCCCGATGTTTGTAGGTCGCAAGTTTCTGGTGCATAATGGCAAGGACTATAAACCCGTCACGGTGACGGCACAGATGGTGAATCATAAGCTGGGAGAGTTTAGTATTACTAGGAAGCCATTCTCGTATAAGAAGAAGGAGGAGAAGAAGGGAAGGGGTGGACATTAAAACCGCGATGTTTGGATGGGTTGATTCGCCATTACGTATCATAAAGAACAGAGAGGCTTCGTATACATCCATGCATGAGCTACATTGTAGAATAGGAACCTTGGAAACTCCTTGGTCTGCTTGCATCCTCCCCCAAAACATAAAAACATAAAAAGCCTCGAGAAAAACAGCGATCTTTTGTAGTATATACATGAAATGATAGATATATTAGTTTAAGCAAAGTAAAATCGTGTATGCAACCCGGTACGATGAGCAAGGCATCATGCATCAGCTTGTTTTCGTTGTTGAGTCTGTCGACCTATTCGTCGAAGCACTAGCAGGAGCCTTTCCATCCATACGAGCAATCTTTTCCTGCCCTATAAACACACAAGAATATGGTTAGCTGGTTGGAACCGTTTGTAGCTTATAATTGACAACTTACACGTCAGCTTCTCATGCAGAATGTGATCAGTACCTTCTTTTTGCATGTGTACCCTCCTCCTTTCTTTGATTTCTATCAAGGATTTGAATACAATTAGTAGACGAGCATTCACACTACCAACTAATATGTTTCTCAATAAAGCAAGATCAATGACTCACCCTTGCGAGCGAAATACAAGGCCCCGAAGCCTACAAAGGTGAATGCCGCCCTATATATACGAAATATCAGTCACATGACGGTTGAAATGTTAGATTTTGTAGTGAGACTTGTCAGCTCATGATGTTTGAAATGTGAAATTTTGTGATGAAGACTTGCCAGCCATATATCGTAGACTAGCAAGGGGACGAAGAGTTAGCTAATCACGTTGAGAGATGACGCGTAAAGAAACGCTTACAGCTACAGTGTTCATATTTGGTTGCTCTTGTCGTGAAATGCTATCGAAAGTTGGCAGTTTCGAGATTTGGTGGTGGAAGACAGATAAACCGCGTCGAACTGGCAATTCTTGTCAGTATGAGTATTTACTGACTAAGTCACGGAGTATTTCACGCTTAAACACGTTCCTTTGGTCAGAATTGTCAAGTTTCGAAACTAGAGTGAGCTCGTACAAGCCACATACATTCGTTTTTGTCTTTTCAACAAGTTCGTGGCCCAAGAGCATATACAAGCTAGCAGAGAGCAAACAAAGGTGAGTCCATTCTTGCTTGTTGAGTCATAGGTGCATTCGTGCCTTGCTGTATATATGGTGCTATGGAACTCGTTGAAAAGGATGCTCGTTAAAGCTTCAACCAACTTTTGGAGAGAAAAAAGCAACAGAAGAGACCCACCACCCTAAGATACCTGACTGTGGAGGACGTGCAGTGTCGTTATATTTAGCTCCATATTATTGCATCGACTATTTTGGATTGGACAAGACGGGTGGAAAGAAACTCGAATGTTGCCAAAATGGCATCAACCATATACGAATCGCGGAAGAGACATCAACTGTCTTTGACCTCCACGATTGAACTCAACTTGATACAAGATTTTCAACTGTCTGTCGTTCAATCTGATATTAACCAGACGTCGGTTTCAATCTTATTCACTAGATGGTAAATCTAACGACACAAAAGCGATTAGCCGCTGCTGTCCTCAAGTGCGGTGAACGCAAGATCTGGTTGGACCCAAATGAGGCCAACGAAATCTCAAATGCAAACTCTCGTAAGTTATGGGTTGTTGATTGGATTGTGTTTGTTGGCTTATGACTGGTGACTGACCATATATTAACCATATACCTACCATATCAATCATCCATCCAACCAACTTGATCATCCTTCATGTTCAATCCTACTCTGACATCTTATAACATCCTTCCTCACCACCACCAACAAATCCATCACCACCATCCAAACCCTCATCACAGGCCAAAACATCCGCAAACTCGCCAAAGATGGTCTGATTATCCGAAAGCCACAGACAGTCCACTCTCGATTCCGTGTCCGTGAAAAGGCCGCCGCAAAGAGTCTGGGTCGTCACATGGGTACTGGTAAACGACGTGGTACTGCCGATGCTCGTATGCCTACCGCTGTCTTATGGATGAGAAGGATGCGCGTATTACGTCGTCTTTTGCGCAAGTACCGTGAGCAAAAGAAGATTGATAAGCATCTGTAAGTGATGTGCCATATGTAGTTTGTGATTGCGTCGACGTCGCTGAGTCTGTTTGTCGTATCTGTCGGCATTGACAAGTCTCATAAATTCGGTCCTTCGCGCCCGTATCTTGCATGGTCTCTGTGCTCACATTTGCAATCTTATGTAGATACCACTCGCTCTACATGAAGGCAAAGGGTAACGTCTTCAAGAACAAGCGTGTATTGATGGAACACATTCACAAGGCTAAGGCTGAAGCTGCCCGTACAAAGACTTTGGCGTACGTCTCTCGTCATATAGATCTTGAAACCATAATGCTATAATTATTCCTCTTCTTTTCCGCTGACTCCCCTTCTTCTTCTTAGTGACCAAGCTGAAGCCATCCGTGCCCGAACCAAGGCTGCCCGTGAACGTCGTCAACAACGTGTCGCCGCAAAGAAGGAGGGTGTTGAAGAAGCTGCACCTGCTGAAGTCGCTGCCGAAGCTCCAGCTCCTGCTGCTGCTACACCTGCACCAACAAAAGCTGCTAAAGGTGCTAAACGATCGTAAAACAAAGTTGGTTATAGTGTTGTAAAGCAAAAACTGTTGGTTTCTGAGAGCAAATAAAACCCGTATTTTTTGAAATTGGAAGATTTGGAAGGGAAGATGGGTTGGATATGCTGTGTGGTTTTGGTCGTTTTCCGTCGCCTTATATATGCTCTTCAACTTTTTGAATGTGTTGTGTGTGAGTGGTATGCATTTGCAAGAACTTTAGTGCTGTTGAACAGACGCAAGCATAGAAATTCCCCAAGAAAGCAATCATTTTTGAAAGTGAGTGAATGGGTCTGGTGAATCATTTATTCATTCCATTTTGACTAGGACGATCAAAAGTCAGTATACCGGGTTCCTCAATATTGGTGGCACCGTGGGTTCCTCATCTTAATCTGTTTACATACGACCCATTCATCATATTTCCATTTGCAACATGCCCCCTTCCCCTGAGGTCCGCAAAAGAATGGATCAGACAATGCATGGAGTGTTTGACAACACATCACATATGACTCGCAATGATCTCTGCGCCTTTCTGGACACACCAGCTGTCTTCTGTTAATCCATTTCTTGGTTCTTCTGGACTTGAAATATGTAAAGAAATAGTGAGACGATGCCGCTACTGGATGTCGAGGGTAAGTGGATTTTTTGCTGGCGTGTCGACATTCTTACTTTATGGCGTAGCAGACTCACATTTGTTTTGCCTTGAGCCTTGAAATACCGCCCCACTTACATTGCAACGTTATGTAGTGTAGATATTATCCAGTCTACATGAAGCCAACGGGTAACTTTTCAAAACGAAGTGGGTGTCGATGGAACAAATTCACAAAATGAAATCTCTCATACAAACCACTTAGGTATGTATCCCTATATGTCGTTCTTGGAAATATGCCTGTACTGAAAGATTCCTTTCTTGGTTGTTTTTTTGCTAATTTAGCTTTTCATAGTGAACCAAAGCTGAAGACATCCTTGTCCAAACCAAGGCGGCTCGTAAGCCGCGTCAGCAACGGTTTGTAGCAACATAAACCCCTAAATTGCTAGACAGAATGAATACACCACAGATTGATACTTTGGACGTTGCTGTGTGCTTGATAAATTGAGAAGCAGTTGGCTGATGTTGTATAGTGGATGCCTCAAATAAATAGAAGATTTCAACTCTTAGATCACACCATTCTACTTGAATTGCTAAACTTTTTTATTATTCTTCTCATTTTTACTACCTACAGTTATACTAATCTATACAAGCTTATAACATTATTTTGGTGTTTTACATAGTGTGATACTACTACTAGAAATTATGTGTGATATGTGCCAAAAACCTGCCAACCCAAAAGAAACCAATAGAATGAAGATAAATGACGCCGAAAAGCCATCATTTCGTCATTCCCAGTTATGACGACCAATAGGATCAGCATCGAATTCGTGCTCCTTTCGATACTTGAGTGTGTTGTCGATCGGGATCTCGTACGAGTAGGGATCTCGGATGATTGGAGCTTGTCTTTTGGTGAGAGTTTTATTAGAGATGCAAAAGGAAAAAAAAAAGATGGTACAGGTTCATACTGGTGTCGTTCAACCCTGGGTATAGTACAAGCACGACCTTTGTGGCTAATACAAATAGGTGTACGTGTGGTCAGTTTGAAATTGAGGCCGATGACTCGGTTGTGCGAGTGGAGGACATACCCTGGTTGTCCACACTAAAAAAACACGATGGGGGAAAAATCGTGTGAGAAGGAGAAAAAAAAACACATATTGATCAGAATCTCACGTTGAAGCATTCCATCACACCGTGACGGCGAGGAGGAATGCATCCTCGCGGCTATAAAGACATTTGATATTTAGACTCTATTTACAGCACCTCGACCTATCCTTCGACCTATCCGGATACACTCTCAACCAAACTTGAAACAGTATATCTCACTTTCGTGTAGTCACAAGCAACTCGAGATCCCAAGACAGTGAGGGCACGATTGCGGTGAACAGTCATACATGCAGCAGCGTCTTCATCATTGGCAAACTAGGTACGAGACGGATTTCGGGTGTTGGTTGGAATGCAGCAGTATTTGGTGGTACGATTACCTCAATAAAAGCGTAATTGACCTATGTGCAAGAGTCAAGGAGTTAGAGACATATACAGATGCATTCATATTCAAAGAGTATAAAGCCTACCTTTCCTCCTCGTTTCATTTCGCATTTACGAAGCCTTCCCCTTTTGGCGAACGGGTCAAATGTCATTCGAATGTCGGCTTCAATGACATCTATGGATGGGAAACGTGAGTGAACGAACATAGATGCACTTTTAGATCTTAATGCGAGCTTACTTGGTGGAATCTTTGATACAAAGAGCGTGGCTAGATTGAAGAATTCAAAAGGAATCAGGCCTTTATCTTTTCCACAAACAAGCAAAGAAAGATCTACTATAAATACATACCCATATGGCAAGCAGCTTTTATGTATCAGAGCGTGCGCCGTCTCTCTGTTGCTTCGATACCCTCAAACAGCCTGGAAAGTCAAACTCACGAATCACACGACGGAAACCAACTTTGACAGGGATTTCGTGTCGGAAGACAAACAGGAATTAAATTCTATCGCGAACCAAACCGCCAAAATTTCACTATTTGGGCGGAGCAAATTTTATTTAAATGATCTGGTCTAAAGGATTTGAATTCACGAGACAAATATGATCATTAAGCCGGCACTCACAATCACCTTCGAAGAGGAGGAGCTTCCCATTAGCTCATCCCATTTTGACGTGTCTTCTGGCTTAAAATCACGAAATCAGTCTGCAATTAATGATGATAAAAGTGTTAGTGTGGCTACAGGTGGACTTGCCGTCAACCAAGAAAAATTCAGGCTGTCGTCTGTGTTAAAGAGTAGCTTGAATGAGAAGGAAGTGGATGAATTGAGAGAAATTTTCAGGCTCGTTGATCAGGTATTTATTTGATGCATCATCTGGCCATCAATTTTCAGCAAAAGGGTACTGACGCTTTTCGACACGTTTGTAGGATGGTGGAGGAACGATATCAAAGGATGAATTACAAATTCTGATGAAAACACTCGGAATTCGTGCTTCAGCTGTATGTAGCCCCTTCCACCTGGTTTCTTCATCGTTATCTTGTTTGTTGCGTCCAAAAAACAAACCTCCTTCATTTATCAAAGCTCACATAGCATCATCCCACACCGTTCCTGTTAGGCAGAGCTAGACGCCATGGTAGACGAAATCGACAAGGAAAAGACTGGTGAAATCGATTTCCCATGTACAGTATACAACCGCAAGATTGGCTTTAAACCCTTGTCACCCATTTTTAACTAACAGTAATCACCCATTCCATCCATCATTTCTCCAGCCTTTGTATCAGCCATGTCGCGAGAGGTACAGACATCTGTTAGCGAAGATGAGCTACGGAAGGCCTTCAAATTGTACGTTTCCGACTGCCTTTTCGGGTGTGATTTCAAAAAATTCAATTTTCCACATTGTTTAGATTCGACCACCATTTCGGAGGTAAACCTGGACATATAACATACCCTCAACTTATGTCCATCTTGTGTCATTATGGCGGGAAATCACGGTTTAGTAACGATGATGCTGCTTACATTCTCTCACAGGTAGAACATCGTCATCGCAACCCTTCTTTCAACGAGAAATGAAATCGAACGCTCGTCACAAACTCACACATGGTGTTTCTCATCTTAGATCTTGCCATCATTAAGCCAAACAGGCTCACTAGAATACAATGGCTTTATCGAAATCTACAAGGAAGCATGGGAAAACGCGTCTGCCACGTCAACAGCCAATGTGAAGAAGTGATTCGCTCGATTCCGGGAATCTAATATTTGAGGACATTGCATAAGCAGCATAATTTTGCGTTTAACGTTAACAATATATTTAGTAATTTGGAGTCAAAACAACGAGCTTTTCTATGTGTATATGATTTTGCAGAGCACACGTTTTCATGATATCCCAACTTTTTTCAGTCTCTGCAAGAGAAAAGCATGCATGTCTTCTTCCAGCTGTAGCAGGCCATTCGAGGATACCATACGATGAGTCGGAGATCTCTCATAGGAATTGGGTATCGGTTTGCCACCTTCTAATCGTACTACTCCCAGCAAGTCCTACACCGAACACATTTGAGTAAGCCAAAAAAGCAAGATAAGCAGAATCCAAAGAGTATCTACCTCTGGATCAGCGACACGGCCATAAGTGACAAATACCCTGGAATCATTCACGTTCAAGTACCCTTCTACTTGTTTGGCTGCTCCATATACCACAGCTATTGACTCGTGCACATGATCTTTAAGCACATCGTGTAGTAATTCTAGTGGAAGAAAGAGAATGAGGAAAAATGGACGAGAAGTTGCAGGGTGAGAGCTCAGAACAACCAGAGCTACTGTATCCATGGCGTCTCTCCTGTCAAACAACCAAGTCACACGCATGAAGAGCAAGACGACCCATTCATCAACTCTGAAACGATCTCGATCCCAATTCTTGTTCAAACACGTACCTTCAAATATGGGATTGATTTCAACATTCGATGGTGACAGCTTCTCGTGATTTTCATCTAGCACCCATCCGATGACAGCCATTTCATTCAGTCCGCGTCCGTGCACAGGAGTATTGAGAAAGGACAAGGCAGGTCCTTTAGCTGATTTCAGTGTTGGATGCACATATAGCTCGTATGGATATGATGCGACACGTATTCCAACAAAATTGCTCGTTGGTACAGGCCGTGACGTGTGTAGGATACTAGCGTGATGAAATAGCCGTGAAAGTGTCCGTATAGCTTGCATTCTCACGTCCTTTCAACTCTGCGACAAACAAAAAATCTAATTAGTCTAGTTCATCAAGCTAGTTCAAAGCAAGAACAGCTCAGCTAACAGGCCTCTTACATATACTATAAAATGGCAGCCTTATTAGAAGGTATAAGACGTCAAGCAGCTCGCAACCGTCCTCTTGTGGTTGATGAAGAAGAATTCGATTCGGAATATGACACGACAGAATCTGATTTGGACACTGACGATGGAGCAGAACCACAGGAACCTGATCTAGCAACTGTATTGTTGACTCTTGGTACTATTTTGCTACCTCTGCTATCAAGAATGTTGGGAAGACAAGGTACATCAATGAAACATGAACGACTGGAGTGGTTCCATTTTGTTGGCTTGAAGCTAACCTACCTTTTGGACGTTAGCAATGATCACGGCTCTCAAAACATTCTACAATATCTAAACTATATGAAGACTGACTCCTGCTAGTCAATCAACACACTCCAAGTCGAATGCAACAACCTGTATTTATATAGTCTACACCCCTTCAACTCTTTGTAATTATATATCCTCAACAAATATGTACATACTCTCTCACTCTCCTCTATCTCAAGCTTCCATGGCATTGTCACCAGCATTCAATCTTCGTAACTGATTGAACACTTTGGTGAAGAAGGGCCTGATTTCATTGATTTCCATCAGTCCTAGATTGTCCATCTAAAATACGCCAAGGGAGTGTATACATGTCAACAATGCCAAAAAAAACAGAGCATGTTCTACAAATACTACCTGTAGGTAATCATATCCAAGTTGTTTCAGACCCTGATGCGCTTTCGATTGACGTATTTCACGTAAATCCTTGAGTAGAGTTTTGACTAGTTCAGCGCGTGGTATATCATCACTTGCACTAGGGCGAAAAACATCAGAAATAGCTCGTGCACAGAGTGACCTTAAATACCACTAACCAATCTAATAACAATTGAGCGATTTCCATAAAATGAAACGGTAGCGCAGAGAAAGATCCTTCGTCTCGTTCTCGTTTTGACAAGTCTTGTAATCGATCTGCCAAGGTCAATGTAAGTAAATGCATCATCAGTTTCCAGTTGACGACCATTCGATTTACCAGCATCAAGCCATTCAGGAGGCTGGATGTTACATTTCTGTTTCTTTTTCAGAGTAACAGCTAGCCATAAGGGAACTTTGGTTTTCATTGGTGGTCTGAATGGTCCATATGTTCCCTGTTGAAGGATACAGGAGTGAGCGACGGGCTTGTATATACAGTTCCAACAATGTTCGACACAGTCACGATTCGGCGTGTTGACTCGTGTGCATTCCAAGGTTCAAAGTGCTTGTGCAATATTTTGGTTGATGTTGATCAATGTCGGCAAGCAAGCGAATGGGCTTCTCGTTTGCAGGCATACATAGATCGAATGATCTTGCCAAAATTCATTATTTAAAGATTCAACGCGTTGCATCCAAAGTCTGCAATCAACAATCAAGACAAGAAACCAAACTCAACACACTTACAGAAATCATATCCAGTTGAGCCAGTTTCTGAGAAGGAACGATAGTTATTGGTTCATCTTCTGCAAGAAATTCAATCTCTGTTGGGCTAAATGATGATGTTGCTCCTCGAGCTAGTGCCATTATTGCTGTCTTTGCGACGTTTAAGTGAGTGGACGCAAGATGTTATACCTGGGATATGATGGCGAACGTATAAAGATTGAATTCATGTGGACATCTGTCGCCCCACCAACTTAAGCGCATGAGATCTACCACATCTAGTCCAGAACTGTCAGCGTTTTGCTTTTGAATAAGACAAGCTCTATTTGGTTGTTTGATGCAGCCAATTAGAGCGGATGTGATAAGAGATACAGTCTCGCCTTCGCCACAAATGCAATGCTAATTTCCTTTTGGTGCTCTACTTAACTTCAAGTCTGTTGATGAGAGGCGGCGGTTTGGAAACCTGAAGCTGTTTGAGACGAGACAGCGTCTAATGCACGTAAGTGCTAATAGGCTTAGTACATGTGTTGTGACGGCTATTCGTTACTCGTACGTTGAAGATCTCAAACAATCATATGGTCTAGTACAAATATGTGTGTTGTATTTCTGCACCAATGAGAATCATGTGATATCAATGTCATAAGAGGCATGAGGTCGAATCCAATCGATGAGGCGGAAAACACTATCGAGAAAGTATGCATAGAGACCGACCTCCAAGTCTGAGATTGACTTGTTCTGACAGATTCAACGGGATACTTTTGCCGTTGCGCCGAAGCCTATTACCAATCGAAAAGGTCTTTTGATGAGAACTGGTATCCACTCAAAAGCATATGTATGAACGAAGGAAATATAGTTTTACCTGACGAAATTCAAGTCTAGAATCGGCCGGCGCTATCAATCGGAATTACATGTACTACGCGCAAATCAAAACGTCAAGGATGATCCCTACTCCCTCAAGAACTCACTGAAAAAAGTATAATAGGAAGTGCATCGATGTACACGCGAATTCAGCGTCCAATAGCATAACTTGACCTCATAGATATGACTAAATTCGAATACGGTTTCGTTTGTTTGGAGGCTGACCTCGTACATCCCATAAACAAACAAACACACCAACAGATACTGCCGAGATGTCCAAATGTCCGGCGTGCAAATTTTTTTCCACCCACTAGTGAGTGTCATCGCCAAAGCCTTTAGTGGTTTGCAATTAATTCGAGAAGAACGACTTCCGACAATCTTCCTGCCCTAAAGAAAACACTTTGTTTTAAGTTAGGAGGCATGGGACATGGTAGACAACATCATCAGTGACATCCGGCACCTACTGGCGAACCCACTTACGCCAGTTACGTCAACCCGACATATAGCCTGCCTGGCGTGTAAAGCACTACGCAGTCGTTGCACAGGTGAGCTAGAGTTTAGATTTAAGCTGCCGTAGTATCTGACTTTCCTCATCTCTTCGAATTATGCTGTAGGAGAGCGACCTTGCAGCCGATGCGCTCTCAAAGGCAAAACTTGTGAATACCCATCCGAGAATCCACAACCATCGCTGAATAAAAGTGAAAGATCAAGGTAAACGCGTCTTTGAAAGATGTCAATATATTAGGAAAAATACTAAAATTATGCTCTTCTCGTCTTGGCGCTGTTAGGTATATTCTTGACCTCGAAGAACGTGTTGACCAAACGGAACAGGTGTTGCTACAATTTGTACGCAAATACGAATCGCTAGAAAATGGGGTAAAGCAAGAACCAGGACAACCTCAGTTACATCAGCCCGAGCCTGATACACCAACAATATTGTCGTCTGCCGTACTGCATGAACTAGTGACTGCGTTTTTCTCACACCCTTCCGATGTCCACAAAGTGCCATTTTTACACCCATTGGCATTCCAACACGATATACAAGCTGATCTAATACCAGACTATTTAATTCTACTCGTCGGAAGTCTGGGAGCACCATACTCAAGAACTCCCGAAGTCTTGGCATTAGTGCCTGATCTCGACCGTAAAAATGCTGGTGATGGATTGAATATAAAAATCGAAGATGATGTACCAATATGGGAGTTGGCTGATGCTGTTGCAAAACTGGGACGTGACGCGCTATCGCGTGAAATGGGTAGCAGTGATCATCTGAGTCTACATGTCTTGTGTGGGCTTTTTCTTATGGCTTACATTCTCTCAGGTGTCAAAATGTTTCAAATATCAGTGGATTTTGTTTGATGGAAGCCAATTTCTCAACTTTTTCTTACATAGAGCAAAGTGAATTTTTCTCGTCATATATGTACGTTACTGCTGCAGTGAGGCTAGCGCAGTCTTTAGAGTTAGACACAGATCCAGATTATCACGATACAAGCTATATTCGCTACCAGCCGTATCCTTTGCCTTTGCCGAGACCAAAGACGTGGTTGGAACGCGAGAGTCGAAGAAGGCTGTTTTGGTCAATTGCGGCTTTCGAGCGAAGTAAGTGAATGCCTGATGTCTTCTTCTGAAATGCTATGGCCCTCTTCTGAAATGCTATGGTTGTCCTTGAACTCCAATGGTTAACAAAATCTTTTATAGGATACGCAACACTTCTAAACCGTCCCAGTTACATCTTTTTCGACTATGTCACCACGTATCTACCTGCCCCAGATATGTATTGGCATATTGCAGATCCAGAGTCCTTGACATGCCCGTTTGTCCTCCATCAAAATCCCCAAAATCATCCGCCGCAACAATCGGATATCTCTCCAAGTGATCCGTTTCTAGGAGACGATTCTCTGATACTGTATTTTCGAGCGACACCATTATATGAACGGATCGAGGTATTTCGAAATACGTATTTCGGGTCGCTTGGAATATGCCTTGAGAGGCCCGGGAAGATTGCTGTGGGGCCTAGCGAGAGATTGACGTGGGAAGTGTTGAATGGACAGCGTGCACGGTTGAGTACTGACTTGGGTGTGGTTGAGAATGATATTATGGGGTGAGTACTCAATCAAGAATGTGCTGCAGCTTTACACTTGTGCATTTTCGAGCCATCCTTCTGCATTTTTTGTTCACTCGCTCACGCCCGCATTCATTCAATAGGTATCTGGAAACTGCAAAGTTACGACTAAAGTCAGCAACAAAGGTTGAAGCAGATAGAGGCCTCAGTCTTGTTGAATTCTTTGTACAAACTTTTCATTTGGCGTTAAGTCAAAATTTGTAAGTTGTGTCTCGGAGCTGAAGAGCATTCTGCCATTACTTGTTTCCCTTTTTTGGATCGTGAACCTTGTGGAAAGCTTGCAAAACACCAAAGTTCTTTATTTTATCAATATAGTGCAATAGCATATTCACAAGGTATACTCCAAGACCCATTCAACGTCGCATACAATCTTGACTTCCACATTGACCGAACATTTGCAACAATCGCATCAATACTCTCAACCTTAACAAGGCATGACGAGGCAGGATGTCAAGTGCATAAATATATGGTTTTAGGACTCCACCAATGCATGCTTGCATTATCTGGATGTCAGAAACTGAATCCGGGATTGGTGAAGACGAGTCTATTGGAATGCGCGAGACTTGTGGTTGTAGTGTCTAAAGCGTGGAGGTTTTACAGCACTTTTGTACAGAGGTTTAAAGAGTGTGTTGATGTCTTGTATGTGGGTGATGAGGAGATTAGGAGTGAGTTCAAGGCTATACTAAATCCATAGACCGTTAGATACCCCAACAAATTAGATTAGAACTTAGAAAAAGGAGAGGAGACAGTGGAGAGACCGTGTGTTGGTCGTGTACTGGGACACTTTTATTGCCGCCTCATAATACTGGGACGGTTTTATCGAAACCAAATGTAAACATATGACCTCAAAGGAACTAGTAAATCTAATAATTTTAATGTTATAGAAATATGTCACACCACAAAACACGCAGCTTTCGTTCAACACTATGCTGGCCGTTACCGCCACTTGACGTAGGCAGAAACCGAGCCACACTACCTAATTTCCAACCTTGCTAGCCCAATTCAAGTCCAACTTTATAACAATTTATCACCTAAAACACCATTTATTATCATCTATGTCACGATTTCACATCATAGGAGGAGCATTCTGTCATTGCACTAGAGTTGCTTATACCATAACATATAAGGAGTTGTTGGTATGAGGTGATGAGAGCATGACAGAATACACTTTTCGTCTTGTGTATAGGTGAATTCTGTATGGATGGTGTAGTGTGACTTCAAAGCAGTTTGAATTGCCGTGAGCACTGAAACTACTAGAATGTAAAATTGAGTTTTAGTTTTAGCAAAGAATATGTTGAAACTTACTGACGAGACCACGAAAATGGCTGATTAATCCGTTCACTAGCTACGGACGACTTGGCAGGTGAATAAGTGAATCGATTACTAGCACTAATAAAGGGTTAGAGGAGAGTAGTAGCACTAGGACTAGCAATATGAGCAATATCATCCCCACTTACACCAGCGTTCCTAGAGAAACACTTTTTAAAGATGTCCTCTGTAAAAATATTCTTTCCTTCAATCTCATCAGTCTGCGCCAAACTTTCTCTCATCACCACCTACTAGATGACTCTGCCGCTGCTGGTCAAAGGCAGAGGCAGCAGTCGATATAATAGATGCAGCGTTTGCATGAAGAATCGTCCAATTCCCAATCACGTCCCACTGGCCACCTTCACCCCTCATAATCATCCGTCGGACTCCGAAGAGGATTTCGAATCTACGTGCGTCTCACTCGATAACACAGCTCTAGATCTTGAGGTTCCAACCAGGTCATGGTGATTTCTAGCTCTGCAGATAATGTATATGAACAAAGATGTTTAAATTTAGAATAAAGGGCAAAACGATCACATTACCTAACTGGGTATTCATTCGAAGTCGTTGCTTAACCACGGCAATACTCCACATCATCTTTAATCAGAAACACGATCCATTGAAGGCGAATTCTGTTGATGTTCGACTTTCATCATCTTCTAGACGAGATAAAGCTGTTTGTAATAATAAAGCTGTTTGTAATAATTCTAAGTCTATTCCATTTCTTGTGTAGCCTAAAGATCGCGAGTTGTATCAGTAATCAACACGTCGTGGGCAAGTCATGAGAAAGTATCCATATAGTAGGAAGAAGTTGTTTCAACACAGCGCCAAAAAACGGTGAGGAGTGTGAGATGTTTAGTACGTACTCTCATCATATCACGTTCAACGACATCGACTGAAACCCAACCTTGAGATATTTCAACGTCGTTTTTATCAGGCGTTTCTGGTACGATGCCCTTCATTTCTAAATGACATAAGGAAAAGGTCAGCGTTACCTCTGGAAGCGCTCAACAACAAAAGGGCAATTCCCATACCGTTACGATGCCTTGAAATCTCCTGATACCGGTTGATGCCAATCGCGAACTCTTGTCTGGCTCTTGAATCCGAAAAGCGGGATGTAACGCCATATTCAAAGTCTTCAAACGGCCGGGTTAATCCTTCGTCAGAGGCATTTCACTTAGAAGCCCTTTTAAAATCAGAAATACGACCAATAGTAGTAATGCGACAGACACAAAGGAACGAGAGTGTTTGGAATTTGTTGCTTCCAACCGGTTGAGTGGTTCGTTCGAGTAACCCGTTCTCTCAAAGAAGTGGTGGGCAAACTTTGATGAAATCCTCGGTGTTAAAGTCCAGATACCAGAGACGAACGACCAAGAATGTGACAAAAACTTAAAGTAGGAAGTTGAAATATCATTAGATCGTCATCATTCGGCTCTTACGAAACCGACATTCGAGATCTCGACGTGGCTGGATTCAGGAGTCTGGAAAGTGTACAACGTCTTTGAATCTTCTATCCATACGGAATTTTACATAGATAATCAAAGGAGTAGACCTCTACTGCGGCATCATTTCACATTTTGCTTCGATCGAGTCCAACGGAAGCGAGTAAAGGGAGTATCAGATATAATCCAATAAGCGGAGCAGTAAACAGGCCATGTGAGTACTATGTGGTGTATTGTCGTGTATAGATCCATCGGTTACAACCCTGAAGAGCAAGGGTGAGGAAGGTTAGCTTAATCAGAGTAACGGAAAAGAGGACGATTACAGGTATGGCCAGTAGCTCGATTGATAACGCTAGTAGTACTATTACATTAAGGTAATGTCACTCTACCTTCAACGACTAACAAACTGTTCGCTGACACCAAGACCCACCAAATAGAGCAAGGACGTATGGAACTGGAACGAAGAATCAACAAATCATGAGCTTTTGCTACATATCTGGTCTTCGTCTCTCTGAGAATCTTTGGTCAATGTTGAAAACCATCAGTAATACCCGTGGAATCGGAGCCTCTATATAGAGTGAGGATATTATATTAATTACTGATCTTGTCTTCTTTTTATCTGAAATATCAATACCGTCGCGCTTTCTCAAAAATGAAACTAACTGTAGCCATTTTCGGATATTTTGGTAGAGCATCTGGTTGCAGCAAGATACCACGGCGATCATGCAGAGGGCCATGATAGCGGCGGACATTTTTTCATCAACGTCTGTTTTGCGAACGCCCATGTTCTCATTGACTGTTCGCTGGAGGAAAAGAAGACATTGTTAGTTGAGAGATTTCATTGACGCAACTAGAAAAAACGAAAGAGGAAGAAGGAAAGAATGGATTTCGTTAAATGGATTCGATAGTGTTCAATTTAATCAAGCGGTTGGTCCATTCATCATGGTTGTTGCTCTGCAGCTCGTTGAAGTTTGGAAGATTCAAAACACCGAAACTTGGTGTGTACGAAGCTGCTCGTTTGAGACCCACGAAGGAATGAGAGGGATGACAGCGTGGCGGAAATATTTAATAAATCTGAATACTGAGAGTGGCCGTATTGATCCAGGAGGAGGAATCAGGTGAATACAACGTCTCTTTGCTGATGATCCTCGAATCATTTTCCTCTAGCCGAATGGGTTCGATATGCTACAGCTACGAGGAGAAGTAAAGACTTTGAACTTGGATTCAGTCTGGAATTATTGAATAGTAACGAGGAGGAACAAGTCGATAGCAACATGCCTGCTGATTTCTGAATATACTTTTTTTACCCCTCGAAAGATGGACGGACAATTGTCAAGTACTACTGCACTCGATTTCCATTCGCATCAGCATAAGTAACTGATTTCGATACTGGCTTTAAGTATTGGAGATGCTACGCTCAGTCGTAGCGAAAAACAAAAACTCACCACTTTTCGATTGCTCGACTGTAGTCGTGATGCAAACAAACCAAACGAAACACGGCCAATACGCCTGAAAATCGTACGTACAAACAATTCAGATTAATAAATTCAATACAAACGAGCAATAACTACGTGTAACGTGTGCAATGTCCCTTTAAATAATCCTATAAGTCTATACAAATTACCACCAACTCTCTATTCGTCACGTAGGCACAACCCTCGCCTCACTACCAGCCAACTGCACATCCAACCAACTAACAAAATTAGCCAGCGTCCACCCCAGTCCATCTCCATATAATTCACCATTCAATATACCAGGGATGTAAGAAGTGACAATTCCACAAATCCATGCGATTAGTACTGCTACTATTACACTAGTGTAGCTTATGGAGTGCTGTTGTTGTTTGGGTGATGAGAGCATGTTGTTGGTCTTGTATGTAGGCGGATTCAGTATGTGTGGTTTGACTTCAGCACGGTTTGAGCTTGCTGAATGGAATGACACTTCTAGGAACGGGAAAAGAGTTGGCTTAACTGAAGCAGTCCAAAAAAACGACAGTGCTAGCAGCCCATACCACGAACTGGTTTAATAACTCCATTCTGACTACTAGCTACAGTCAGAGTCACAGGCGAAATACTTCCTCCAGGGCTAGTAACGCCCTTACTAGGAGTGCTAGCACTAGGACTACCAATACTACTCGGACTACTAGCAACATGATTACCACCAGCAACAGCAGCATTAGCAGAGAACCACTTATCAAACTCCTCTGGCAAAATATTCTTTTCCTCAATCTCGTCAGTCTGCGCCATCACTTCTCTTGTCACGACTAGCAGTGGATGCTTCTGCCTTTCAGTAACAGCAGCGGCAGCAGCAGTCGATATGTTAGATGCAGTGTCCGATAAGGAATGCACAAGGGACACATAGTGTTCACGTTCTGACTCTAGTTTTACTAGAGCTTCTTGAAAGAGTCCTTTGAAGTGGGCGTGAGAGTCCACGTCTAACACAGGTGGCGAAAAAAGAAGAGATTGGTATTTCGTCTTTGTTCAACACAGCGACAAAAAAGCCTCGAACACCAATGACAGAGGGAAGGGAGAAACATACATACCATCTCGAAATCCTCCCAAAGTACCTTGCAACGCTTTAACATCATGTCGTAACGTTGTCATCCATCGTTCCAATTCAGCGTCATAATGTTTACGACGATCAATTGTTTGCCTGTTCTCCTTGACTGAAGTTTCGACTTCCTCTATCTGCTTTTTTAGCGAGTCCTACAAACCAAACGAATTTGAATGCACAAAAGCAACGGACAAAAAAGCATGTAGCAAATCATGACGGATTGATGTTTTGCATTCCCAATTTTTCTTACCCTTTGAGATTCCAGTACTTGTAAGGCTTCACGAACTTGACCAAGCTGCTTCACTAAATGTGAGGTAGAGAGTTAAAACAAAATGGTGATGTTGAGACTGCACTCTTGGCAAAAAAACTTTGGAAGATACATTGAGTATTCACTTACATTCAACTTGTTGTCTAGCTACTCGATCCTGCAAATCCCTATACCGGGCATCCACGTCATGATCGCTAGACCCCGTCCCTCTAGTATCCTTGCTCTCAGCATCATCCGTCTGAATCGAAACAGTATTCGAATCAAGATGCGTCTGACTTGAGGCAGCTCTACATTCTACGGTTCTGACGGGAACATCATGATTTCCTAGCTCTGTAGATAATGTCTACAAATGAAAGATATTTGGAAATGTCTTAGTGTAAGGAGCAAAAAAACAACATTATGACTACTCACTCGAAGTGGTTGACTAACAACAGCATCACTCAACAAACCCTCTAAATCAGCAATACGATCTGTCAGTGTAGAATTCAGCTGATGTGCACCCTCCAAATCATATTCTAGACGAGACAGAGCACTTTGCAACGATTCCAAGTTTGCTCTTGTTTCATTCATTTCGTCGATAGCCTAAAGACAGATAATTTCTGTGAGTCTTCACATTGAGCATGAGGTCTCGAAGAAGAAAAGGATTTAAAAATAATGCAAAAAAAGAACTCATTGAATCAGTTTACTAAATACACACCCTCATCATTTCACGTTCAGCTTCATCAACTGATGCTCGCCCTTGAGATATTTCATCTTCCTTTTTATCAAGCATCTCTCGTAATTTGTCCTCTATTTCTAAAAAGGAAGGAACACAAGTTAGAGTTCGTCGTTACTACAAGATCGACAAAAACCATGTCACACAAGTTCATCGATCGTACCATTACGATGCCTCAAAGCCTCCTCATGCCCTTTGATACTATTCGCAAACTCCCTAACCTGACTCTTCAATCCAACAACCTGTATATTCAATTTCTCAATAACACCTTCCAATGTGTCAATCTGTGACTGCAAACCCCTCTCGCTATTTTTCAAATCACTGCACTCCCGTTTCTTGCTGGATAGTTCTAGCGTCAACGATTCTATATGTGTATGGTATTCCTGTACGCGTTCGTCCTGTTCAGTGTGTGCTCGTTGGAGCAAGGTTTCAGTATCGTGGAGCCGACGAGTTAGATCTGATATTGTGTTTGAGAGATGTTCTAATTTTGATGGTGTGTCTCCGTTTTGGTATTGGTCTGTTGGGTATGATGGATTCCCCCAGAATGGCGAATTTGTAGCAGGAGGTGGAATTCGTAGTGATTGTTTACGATTTGATTGTGGTGTTTTTAGTGGTGATATTATTGATGAGGACGGTGGAGGAGAAGAAGAAGATGGTATATAAATTGGTGCTGCTTCCTGCCAATATATATCGTTACGTATTGGCACAGATAATTGACGCTGTATTATAGGTGACGGCTGGATAGACGAGAAGGATGACGACGAGGATGACCGTCTAGGCGAGCTCGACTGTTGTTGTCTGCGAGATGAAGGCGAGTTCAACCATTCATGATACCCGTCATTATTATCACCCAGTATACCACCTGTAGATGATGCCTGTACAGGCGACCACGTTGGACTGGTATCATTCATTCCATTCGGTAACGAGGTATTTCGTATATCATCATCAGCTATATCATCCTGCCTACCACCATCCCCTATAGGATCTGAGCCTTCCATGATTGGTTGAAGAAGTTTGAGTAATTGTTCTTGCGATATCATAGTGTCTGGATTTGAATCAGCGAGAGAGCGTAGCCTAGATTCAGCTTCAGGGAATATAGCGATTCCATTTTCGGTGACGAGGTTATCAACAATATCTTTTAGTCTCACTCGTGGTTGATCTTGAGCCAACATTCTTGTTGAATGTGTATTTTCGGGCCAGTGTTCTATAAGAATTAAGGCTAAGCGAATTTGAGCATGGGCTGCAATTCAAAACGTACTTTGTACTTGCCGGATGAGGGAATCTAGATCAAACTGTTTGACGACGCAAACAACCCCCCTGATGTTGAGTGTTTTGAAGATGGAGACTAACTAGACTAGAAGAAGGTGTGTCAGTTCAATGAACACACAGATCAATGCAGATTGAAAATACAGAGGGAGTCTAGTTGGTTTGCAAAGAACATTAAAGTGAAAACTTCTACAATCCAAACAAGCACGACACATACGCAGTTTACAGACAACAACTTACGTTGTAGGTAGAATCAGAGACGGAAACGACTACTTAGCTTACCGATCTACTACGAACTAGATATCTACCTAGGACCAATAGAACCGGAGCTCAGCGTCGAGTGTGATTCGAGTGTTAGAACGCAAGGCACCAATTTCGAGGTTTCGCGACTCAGACAGGTGGTCAAACGCGTACAAAGACGTGATTTAGTGTTGAAAGATTCATTAGTAGTCGATAATATACACATTACTTGTAGTTTGATCTCATCTCGATGAATTTCTGGTGGTGACAACGGAAAGAACAAAAAGGGTAGCTGCAAGCAACATCGCGATTCGTACGAGAATACTCAGTTCACTTGCAATTGCACGGTCAAACAGCTCAACTCTTTTGTCGGCTCAACCCCCACATCACTTCTTTCGTTCAACAGAACACTCATTTGGTGGCGTGCTACTGGAAGAAGGCCAACATGACTACCAAAGGCAAGGACACTCGTAACAGTCAAGCTACTACACGCTTGAGCTAATCCTGTCTTTATCCACTTAGAGCACCAAAAGCAAAAGAAGCTGACTCTCAAATCTGTACACAAAGAAGTGTGTCGAATTCGAAAGGACTCGCCCATATCCAAACAAGTAGAAGACGCATTCAACATCATGCTGGATGCCCTTAATAGATACGGGTAAGCTCATACTATCAGTAACATACAGAACGTGCTGGCTGTTGAGCTGGGCTATAGACAACACAACGTCATTTACTCGCGAAAACACAATGGGTTGGCTATTCAAGCCCAAGTTGGCAACAAGTGCAAAGAGAGAGTCTTGTACTGGCTACAAAGGCATAAACTCACAGAATCCCTACAAACAGTTCCACTTTCAACCTCTCACTCACACCATAACACACAAATACAGAACTACAGCTCTTTCCATGAGTTTCAACGGTGGAAAGGACTGCACAGTCATGCTTCACTTATACTATGCAGTCCTCTACCAGTACCTAACGGATCGGGCTGCCTCTAAAATAACGAATGGATCAACTAATGGAAGTAGTGACAATGGAACACTAGCTGCTGATGGTAACGGAACCTCTGATACAACAATAACGGCACCACCAATTAAGTGCTTGTATGTAACCTGTGTGGATCCATTCCCCGAAGTGGATGACTTTGTAGATGAGTGTACTCAAGTGTAAGTTTGTGAAGGGACATATGTTGATAGTGACATTTTTTGCTACCTGTCGCCTCAGACTAATGACTAGTAATCCAAACTAATACGCCATCATCATTATCACAGGTACAATTTAGACTTGGATCGAATCGCCGAGCCCATGAAGGAAGCTCTACAAAAGTTCCTCGATGTGGAATCTTCTGTGCAGGCAATCCTTATTGGGACTAGAAGAACAGATCCCTTTGCCCGTAAGTTTTTGCGTACAGCAGTTCGTTCGTTGTCGTAGTGTAATACTGGTGGATCCGCGACTCGTGATTTTCAGACGCTACCGTGCCTTTGTGCTAATGTCAACCATCTTACGTTAGAAAACTTGATACCGTTTGATCCAACCGACAATGGCTGGCCCAGTGTTATGAGAGTACATCCCATACTAGATTGGGATTATGCTGATATATGGATGTATTTACGCTTGTTGGAGGTGGATTATTGTTCACTCTATGATAGAGGGTGAGCTAATTGGTTTGGGTTCATTTTTTTTGTTCTTGTAGTATCCTTGTCGCTTTTTGAAGATGTCTGTAGGGTCGACAACACACGTCCTCTTTGCTAACCTCACACTTTCACATCCTCTAGATACACATCATTGGGCGGTATAGGTAACACTCTACCCAACCCAGCATTAGCGAATCCACTCGTGCCTGGAGAGTTCCTCCCTGCGTATGAACTCAAAGATGCAGTTTCAGAGAGAGATGGGAGAGGCAAATCAAAATCATCATAACCGTGTGTTTTGAAGTAACTATAAGGAAACGACAACGCACAAGACATGCAATAATATCATGTTGTCTTTTAGAGTCTATTGTAATGCGAATGGGCTTTTTTAAAATAACAAAGAAAGCAAAAGCTTTTATATACAAAGGAAGCCTTTCTTCTTGTTCCACACATGTGATGCGAATAATATTATTTACAGGATGATGAGGAGACCGAATATGGCATATACCAAGAAGATTGGATATGCGACGAGCATTCTTTGTTCAGTCATTGATAGAACGGTGACAAACATGAGTGATGCTGAATATGTACACCATACTACGGATATCATTGCTAGTATCAGTCCAATCAGGCCCCTGTATGTGTGAACGTATTACGTGAGTATGTACCTTCAAACATCGTAACGTTTTTTTGGTGGAATTGTTTGCCCACAACGAAAAAAATATCATGGGGTAGGGTGTCATCGTCTTCAATACTCGTTACCAACAACATACCCTAGTCGTAATAGCACAGACACGGAACTCAGCAAGACCATTGGTAATAAACAGTAACCCAATACACTGGCAGTTCGATATCCATCAATACCCATTTCACTCATTAGGTTGAGAATCATATAGATTGATACACAGCCCAGCATTGCGACTCCGTAAATGTATCCGAATTGGATTTTGCCAGACTGTGTAGTAGGGATGGAGGGGGTGAGCGTGTGTGAGATGGCGTTGAAGTTTAATAGCAAACGCAAAACGTGAACAGAACAATCGCTAATCTCATAATCTAAGCAGCAACACGCACTCATACGTACTAGCAGTAAGAAACCACCACATAAAAAGACGAATATTAAAGGACCAGCTAGATCCGTGTCGTCCATGATGTGTTTGTCCATTGGTCTTAGTGGGTTGAGTACTGTTATAGACTAGGAAGGAGTGGTACGAAGTGATCATTTGATTAGTTTGATGTACGAGACGAGTGCTTTTTTTGGCCGAGTAGTCTGACGTTCAAGTCCACCAGCTGTTACATCACCACACTCACTTTTGTTCGAATATGTTCAAAGTTGATTCCCAATTCTATAGAATGAGCGAGTGGGTTGTAAGCGTCCATGTCAATGTCAAGAATGTCTCGATTCACCTCCAGCACATGCAACATCAAGCAAAACAAGTAAACAACCACATTGAAGCATTTAATTTATGTCAGCACTTTATGACAATCACGTACCTTCCAGTAAGGGAGCTTCGCCCGGATAACCACCAGTTCCAAATGCCGTCCTAATAGACTCCCAAGTGACTATTCCCGGGGGCGAATAATCTACACTGCCACCACCAATTGGAGCAGTACTGCTGCCAGCTGTATATGGATATTGACCTCCTCCCGTCTGGCCTTGTTGTGAGCTGTATGTTGTTTGATAGAATTGCAAGTCGTCAGTTTGATTAGTTGGGTTGTAACCGCCATTCTCTTGGAAGAGGACGTTTCCTTGCATCGTGTGGGTGGCGTATCTATGTTAGAATATTAGTTATAATGCGACTCTTCTTGTTAGCAGCAATTTGAAAGTTTGGTGTGTGTTTGTGAGAGATCTGATGCATGCGGGATGAGGATGGAAAGGAGATGAGGGAATAAGTATTTTACGTGTATTTTCGCGTCTAAAAATAAAAGTCACTCTTTATACTGTACAACAGTGGTCTGATAAATGAAAATCCAAAATCACCTTCACACCCACAAAAAACACTCTAGTTACTTAGTAGGAACTACTAGGAAGCCGCATCTGAGAAGAGATCTCAACGTAAGCAATTGTTTTTGCTCTCATTTTATTCCTGAAACTAATCGTCTGCACGTTGACAGGTCCAATACCAAACTGGCGGTGTTTGATTGTCTGTTTCTGCTAGACGTTCAACACTAGTTGAGACATATCAAAATGATCCTACTGCCTACCCTATGTGATACAGGCGCATCCTTCTGGGATTTGGTCAAGGTACCCTTCATTTGCCAGCTGGCTGCAGATAACCAAATTAAGCATGTTGCGGGAGGAACGTGTTTGTGTTGTGGAGCGACAATACACCTTGCAGAGAACTGGGATAACATATTCACGTCGAATCTGTTCTTCCTTTTATGGAAGGACCGTTGACTTTTACGCAACGCATTTCCAAGCGTCGCAGAACGGGGACCTAGTAGTCTCACTGTTCTTACACACATCTAGGAGAATGATCTTTTCATGATCCAGAAAGCTAAGGAACAGGGTGGTGCATTATGGAAGACGGTGCTGGCTACCGTACAGAATGTGTATGTGTTTGTGGTCGATGTACCGAACTGTGTTGCTAATGGAACAGTGGAGCCAGTTTTTTTTGTGTACTTGGATCTCAATGAACTCACATTCTCCTTCATGTACTTCAGATTGGACACAAAACAATCTAAATTCAGAATACTGCTAAAGAGTCCTCAAGGGCCTGAAGTTGGTCATTTAGTTGCTGCAGCTGATTCATTGAAAGCCATTGAGAAAGATTGGACGTGGATTGAAGGTGTGATCATCCATTATTAACATCTCGCTGCTTTTTGCTGATTCGAGCTCTGACGAAAATCAACCGCTAAATATAGAGAACTTACTGTCAGAATTGCAAGAATTAGAAGATCCAACTGATCAAGAAGCATTCGCAGTGTCCAAGTTTCAATCTATGGTTGCTAGTGCTGGTACGAAACATATACGATAGAGCCAAAAGAATGCGCACACCCTTAGGCTCAGCATCAAATTAAATTGCTGAATCCTCTCCTTGTCCACTCTCAATAGAGCAGGACACGGACGAAAAATCAACCGATGCCAAATTTAGAGCTGCATCACGAGCATGGAGGCAGATATTTCATTTACCAGATACCGAGAGACTTGTGAATTGTATGTGTTTCCGAATATCACACCACGAAAAAAGGGCGTGGAATTATTTCAATATACGGACCCAGATTAACCCTTTTGCTTACCTAGTCTACTCATGCGCCTACCACAAAAAGCTAATCAATCAAGGGTGGATGTACATATCACTATCATATCTATGCTTTTACTCCTTTGTGCTTGGTGTCGAAACCAAAGTCATGATTGAACTCAAGGACATTGAAGAGTTACAACGAGACAAATCGAAACGTGGTGTTTTCTCTGATGCTGTACGGATTGTTACGAGGAATAAACAGGAGGTAAACAAAAAAGCGACAGTAGAAAGTATTACACACGTATCGGCACAGTCATTTTGACTCGACTGTCTTTTATTTAGCATATATTTTCCAACCTATTTCATCGTGACGAAACATTCGAGTTGATTGAACATTTAACAAATCTTGCCATGCAAAGATTGTTAAAATCAACAACAACAGATCCAGCACCAGGCCTATCACTGGAAAAACAATTAGCTGCAGATCAAGCTGAAATCGATAGTCTAATGAGTGCCATAACTGGAGCAGCACCCGCAACATCGCCAAATGGCCGCGCATCAAACACAACACGACCCCTAAAACGTAGTCTAGAAGAACAGAAACGAAACGCCAAATTCCAAATAGTGTTCAACCTCCCATCCACCGAATCCATTGCCGACGAAATCATATCTGTTTGCTCAATCCACGGCACAACAGCTACCTTCCATGGCAAACTGTATCTCAGCAATACGTTTCTTTGTTTCATGTCAACAGCCAAATACCAATGTCATCTCGTCCTGCCGTTTTTCGCTGTGAAACGAGTTGAACGGATTAATTCTCAGGCATTGAATTTGTCGATTACTGTATGGCATCAGATGAAACTAGTGTTTCAGTTGGTTGGGGACAAGAAGGTCGTTGAGGCTTTTTGTGATACGTTAAAGGATAAATTGCAGTTGCATGTTGCTAAAATGAAGATGTTGAAGCAATTGTTGAGTACTTGTGCTTCGGAAGATCTGCTGGCTGAGCGAGAGGTTGTTTGTGGTGGTATGGGGTTGAAGTTTGGGTTTTTGGAGGTTAAGAAGTGAGTAATGATGTCGAATTTTGTTATGGTAGAGAGTGTTGCAAAATCCTGTTGGAATCCACTGCGATTGACATTCTCGTTTTTTTGCGGCGCCGTTTTCCAAGGGTGATTGATTTGGGATGGAGACCTTGGTCTAACAAACTCTTAGAAACAATAGGACACGAGAGAAGAACAAGTTGAAATATTGGCTGGCATATTTCAAAGGTTTGTGCCTTTACTCCTCCTTTCTCAATTCTTTTTTTGCCAGCACAACACGAAAACCTAATCCTCTCACTCACACAGAATATGGGAGAAATTTGACAATACTACGACTCCCCACATTCATTAAACTAGTACGAATCGGTCTACCCAACATCCTGAGAGGAGAGATATGGGAATTATGTTGTGGAGCCATGTACAAACGATTTATAAATGATGGATATTATGATCAGTTGCATGTCACTCATGCTGGACAAGTGTCGTTGTCGACTGAGGAGATTGAGAAGGACTTGAATAGGTATTCTGAGGAGGAAACTTCGTCCTTTCTTTTCCTTGATCTTGACCCATCTTGGTATGTTTGTAGGAGTTTACCAGAGTATAGCGGATATCAAACTGAAGAAGGAATACATTCTTTGAGGAGGGTGTTATACGTGAGTTTTGAGTGTGCAAAATAGCCACATTATGGCTTCGCAGTTTTTTTCGTCTTTCTTGCTTGCTGAAACTTTTTTTCCAGGCATACTCCTTCCACGACCCAGAATTAGGCTACTGCCAAGCAATGAACATTGTAGTCAGTGTCCTCCTAATCTACCTCTCCGAAGAACAAGCTTTTTGGATTCTTTCAGTCCTCTGCGATCGTCTCCTCCCCGGATACTATTCTGTAAACATGGTTGGAGCCGTCATTGACAATCAAGTCTTTGAAAGCATGGTATCGAAATACATGCCAATCCTGAGTGATCATTTCAGGAAGCATGATATTCAGTTGTCGGCTGCTTCGTTACCATGGTTTTTAAGTCTGTATATAAATTCATTGCCGCTGCCGTTTGCGCTGAGGGTGCTGGATTGTTTCTTTTTGGAGGGGCCGAAGGTTTTGTTTCAAGTTGGGTGAGTACTGGGTTGTGATTGTGTGAGATGTTTGGAGTATAACTCATGAATCATAGCACATTTGGCGTTGCTAACCTTACTCTTCATATGTACAGATTGGCCATTTTGAAAATAAATGGTGAAACCATACTCAAAGTTCGAGATGACGGAGAACTCATGTAAGTGCTGTGGTTATTGGAACTGAAAAGCGAAAAGGGAACAAATAATTATATCTGATGAACAATAATAATTATACAGGAGCACACTGAAGCTTTACTTTGCCAGTCTTGGAGACACCGTTGTACCTACCACAGAAGCCAAATCGACACAGACGAGATTCAACCAATTAATGCTAACAGCCTACCGAGAGTTCCAAAACGTCAACCAGGACATGGTATTAGAATTACGCAAAACCCATCAACTCAAAGTAGTGCATGGTCTCGATACATATGCCAAAAGATCCATCGTCCGAAACCTCTCCTTCACTGGCAAATTCAGCAAGGACGATCTCCTCTACTTGTGCGATACCTTCTTCACGGTGCAATTCTATGGCAAGCGGGAAAAGCAGAAAATGGCTGATCGAATAGATATAACCCATTTCAAGGCATTCATGGCACGACTAGCATCATGGGCAGACACTACAAAGGATATAGAAGAGCAGCATTCACGATTAGGTACAGATACACCGCCTAAACCAGTAGTTGGATCAGCATTCCTGGACAAGTTGTTTATGCGAGTGTTTGATAAAAACGCAGATGGATTTGTCGATTTACAGGATATCGTATCTGGCATGACGCTACTGATTCACAACGATATGATGTCTCGCCTGAATCTATTCTTTAGTATTCACGCCACCACAGACGCCGACCAGTTTATCGTTAAAGAGCAAATCATACAGCTATCTGAATCCCTCCTATTCTTGATGAGACGAGAAGGGGAAGGTGAAGATGGCGCTGGGCCTGGTGGTAAAGGAGAGGTGTATTTGAATTCTATATCGAATCTATTGCATCGTGCATTCCAGCTGAATGCTAGCGCGGATAATTTAGATGGTGCTAAAGAAACGGATGACAATTTCAAGATTAGTATATCGACTTTTAGAGAGTTGGCTCTGGGAGAGGATTGTTTGGTCGAGTTCTTTGATAAGGGTTGGGCTGCGAGTTTTGTGCTGAAGTCTACTAGTGGGGTGAGTGGTTTCTGTTAGATCTCTGCAGAGCGAGAAAAAAAGCTCGTTTCTTCTGGACGACCACCACGTAATGGGTCATTTGACTTGGCTGAATTGTTGGGGCTTGTGTATTATATTCCATTATCATCATCGTCATCATCATCATCATCATCATCATCATCATCACGTCTTAGTTACTAATCACTTTGTTTTTGTTCCTCTCTTCCTATAGGTATCGCAAACAAGGCCAGTACCAGACCTTAACACCTTATGGTCTGAAGGCATGAAATGGGCCACCAAAGGAAGCAGTACCGTCGTAGTAAAACCAAACCAGAAAGCTGAGGCCAAGAAACCCAATGCAGCCAATACTTCTACCACGAATACAGCAGCAACAACATCAACTACCATTGCAACATCAGTTGCTGAATCATCTTCAGAATCGGATACTGAAGATGATTATGTTGATGGAGTTGAGGAGGGGGATGATGATTTCGAGGAGGTTGATACTGATGCGCTTCTAGCTGAAGGTGAGGGATTGGAAGTTGTGGTTGGAGTGATACGAAGTCATACTGTTCGTTCCAGGATGGTCTTGTTTTTTTGCACCTTAATTCTGACTTTCTAAATTCTCTTGTAGTGGACAGCCTGTTGATTTCCGAAGCTCCATCATCTGGAAGTAGTCCTGCTCGAGATGAACATCGTGAGAGTGTGGATTTTGGGGTGCCGTTATAGTTGCTGGAGGTGTGCCGCTTCATTTTTTTATAATATGTTTATCCATCTAGCACAGTTTTATAAGAAAACATGTTTATTGATGCTTTTGTAACTTTGTTTGTGGGTTTATGGATTGGTTGGGATGAGCTGTTGGTGTTGGCATTGTCATGGTGTTGCGCAACTTTGAAGGTCTTGACAACGAGGACGAAGACCAAAGAAAAGGTAAATCGGAACGAGAAATACACTTGGGAAGAAAGTCTCTCGGTGTGGTTGTGGTTGTGGAGGCAAAGGCATTTGAGTTGTGCAGAACGGGACAACAAATTTCATGAAATCTGTGGATTCATTTTTCTTGCCAATGCTCGGAACTGCATAACGGTAGTATTCCACTCATCATCGTTTAACATATTGCTTCCCATACTTTAGATAGATTCGACACAAAACAATGTAAATCAGAATGCTGTCAAAGAGGTCACGACGCGCCTGAAGTTGGGACATCTCGTTGTGGCAGTGGATTTGTTGAAGGCGTTTGAAAGGGATCAGACGTGGATTGAGAGAGCACAAGACTGGAGCTCAGCTCAATTTTTTGCTGTGGGATTCTTATGCTATGTCCAATCCTGAACAACAGAGAATCTATTTTCGAACTGCAAACCGTTGGAATACTCATCAAGAAGAATTACTGATATTCTAATTATGGGTGCTAGTGCTGGTACGAACCCAGATGCGGGGGCGAGAGATAAAACCCCCCATCCGTGGCGCGCAACTTATCAACGACCAATTGCAAATTCACTCCCCTCATTACCATCCATGCAACAGGGAAACGATGAAAGCTTAACTAAATCTAGGGCTGCATCACGAGCATGGAGGCAGATATTTCCTGCAGCCCATACTGAGTGATCATTTCAGGAACCATGAAAATCCATCGTTTTTAAGTCGGTTCACAAATTGGTTGCCGCTGCCGTTTTGCCGCTGCGGGTACTGGAGCGAGATATGGAGATGATCATCACAGGAACAATCAAATACATTTCAACACAAAAGTCGTAACTTTATATGTTTTGAAACCAAAGGAAAGAACTAGGATGCACTACCAAGTTTCACCATGATCATAATTAGTTTCCAATCAATGCTGTAATAGCTTCAGGATTGGGGTAGACCATTTCTCCAGAAATGATCTTGCCAGTTGCATCGTATCTCCCTACGAAACGAAAAAAAAGTCAAGAAAGCATATTCATGAAAGAATTACAAAGAAAGTAACGATTCAAGAAGAATCATAGCAAACCGAAGATAAGTTTAACGTACAGATATGGGCCTCACTGTGATCGTCGTACTTCTTGCCATTCTTTTCAAACTTGACGTCCAAGAAGGCTTCGATCTTGTTGCCGCCGAGGTGCTTGAATGATTCAGGAGTGACCTGACACAAACGAAAAGAAAAGTGTCAGAGTTGCTAGCGTCATCAATTAAACATGGTTATAGAATATGACAGCAGCCTCAATAAGACATCATACCGAGCACTACATACCGTGAAATCTTTAGTCAAAGCAGCTGATTCACTTGCAAGCTTCAAGTATTGCGAGAATGGGATTGTGCCGGTGATTTTTAGGCCCTTCATTTCTATAAGAATGGTAATTCATGGTGTTGAGTAACCGCCCTGCACAGGCAAATCACTCGTGTCCGTGTCTTGGCAGCCTGGAAACAAATTGAATGGGTGTTCAAAATGTGAGATTACCAGTGGTAACTGGAGAGTCAGCACCGAATCTGAATATAGTTAAAGGAGTGTTACTCGTGATGGGTTGACAATTTCGAAAATAGCGCAATTGGAGTTTTTCGTGTCAGTGACAACCTACACTGTCATGATGGTTGCAGCATCTCCCTGTAAACCAAAGATGCAATGTTGGTCAGATCTTTCTACATCCGAGATTGCTTCGAAATACCACTCACCGTGTTGAATGCAGCGTATGCGTCCTTGAGTTCTTGTTCGACTTTAGCCTCCAAAGACATGTTTGCGATACGTTTACGAAAGAGTTTTGAAGGATATTTGCGTCGTTGGTCCCAACGTATCAAGTGTCAAAGAAGTGGAGTTTTAAAAATGCATCCGAGTTTGCAACACCAAAATCAAGGGACTAAAGTCACGACCTCGCACAAGAAAACTTCGTTTTAAATCGCGGCGCATTGCTTTGGAGCTATATCTGCTTGGAGTGCATGATGTTGTTTCAAAAGGTCTTGCTTCGCCCAAGATGAAACCTCGTTTGATTTATGTTAGGACCTTTGGTTTTCTTGCAAGATGGACTAGTTCGAGTTTTTGTGTAGCGGTCGCTGTCAAACGAGACGAGTTCCCTTTTAATCTATCACATCTCATCAGATTCCACTACCGATGCTGCTTTCTAACTCGTTTGGTGACCATCAAACACAAGAACGTAAAACCTGGATTGAATGTTGCTGTGTTTTTGAGATCAAGCAAAACGAATAACACTGCTCAGTTTTGTGCATTATGAATCTTGCCTCTGGAAGAAGTCAGGGCATCTTGCTGGCTCTGGCACGAGAGTGACGGTCTAGTGTACACGGACATGATAGTTGTAATATCTGCTAGTGAAACAAAACGTTACCGAAGGACTACTTGCAAGTGGATTGTTATTTACTATTAACATAGAATCTTGTTGAAAGCAGCGTACGTGTTATGGAGCTCCCGTTCAACTTTAGCTGACCAGGCCATTGTCAGTGTTCAGAAGGGCGCCGGCAGGACTGAATGGTGCTGCAAAACAGTTGAGGCAACGCGACGGAAGGGGATTTGAAAAGTAAAACAGACCCAAAAGTTTTGATCGCTTTTGCTTTTGTAGACACCTTTTGTCTGTCCCACTCTGTGGTCACGTTCAAATAGCCTCTTTCGAAATTGTCCACCTTTGTAAACCATAATACCCGCCTGATCACTAGTCCAGTCTGTCAATTAAACGGGCCATTAAAAGTGGTCGAGTTCGTCTACCTCTCTCTCTTGTCGTAGATTCCAATTTGCGTCCAAAAATGTCAGAATCTATCGAGAAGAGCTTTGCAGCTATTGTGAAGCGAATTGAGGAGCTGAAAGTCCCAGTTTGGGTGCGTGCTTTGGTTTTCAGAGTGGCCTTATTTGAAGGAGCTAATAGAATTTTCCTGCCATATAGGTTTGGGGTGCTCTTGGAGGTAACATCAAGAGTGTTTCGTTTGCTTTCGTGCTGATCTGCCATGGACCTTCAAAGCAGAGTTGACTGCACACAACAAGACTTGTCTGACACTATTTTACTCTTCAATCTTCAGCTGTTACTACGGTTTCTATTCTCAGGAGTCTGTTTCGACCACCACACGATGCCAAAGGCTATTTTGCGTACCCTATACTGGGTAAGCATTGATTTTCTGTTTATTACATGGCAAATTCTACTGCAGTCACCCTCCATCCTTGTTTTGTAATCCCTCTGATATGGGCATCTGTTTGGAATAACTCTGACAACGGCATCTATGATTTCCATCTTTAACATTGGTCTTCAATAGGAAACCTCCCACAAGTGGGATCAGTAACGAGAATGGCTCATTATGAGCTCGAATCTGTTCTCAAACATGGTTATGTAACCAAATCAGTCCTTGCTGGGAACGAGTTCCTTTTGACTGCCGATCCTGCGATTGTCAAAGTATGTAGTCAAGGCTCTTTCAAATTACCAATACTTGAAACGCACTTGCAGCAAGGAGCTAACCATTATACCAACTCAGAAAATACTGAATACGGAAATGGACGATTGGGGCCGCGGCAAAGGTCTTGCTGCGTTTGTATTCGAAGATGTTGCTGGTGGCCTCATCATACAGCCCAACGGCCAAGAATGGAAGGAGACAAGTAAGTCTTCATCTCATTGAAGCTTCAGTCAACGCTGATATTAAAACCTTATTCTTCAGGAAAATTCTTTGATCCTTCGTTTGGCGTGCCCTCCATCAAATCATATACACCCATCATCCAGGGACGTATGGACAAATTCCTCACCTGGCTCGACGGTCAAGCAAAATCATCTGTCAACAACATTAAAGGACCTGGTGTCCCACTCGAGAACGTGCTTCATGGGTAAGAAATCACACTCGTTTTCGTATGGTGTTATTTTGCCACTAGACAACTCAAACTTCTTGAAAAGAATTACTTTCGACATTATTGTAATGATTGTGCTTGGATTCGATCCTGATTCGATATCTTCTGGGGGCCATTCTAGATATGTCCAGGCTTGGGGTACGTGCTTGGGAGTTTCAATCCAATTTGACGCACTTCCTTTGTTAACTTTTTGCATCGCTCCTCGTAGAGTACGTACTCAAGTCTCTTCAAGAACGCTTTCCCTTGGCTCAAACGCAATACTGGAAGTGGATGAAAACACCGGCTGTGCGAAAGTACGATAGGGAATATGCTCTCTTAACAAATCTGGTCATGGACCGTCGAGATCATTACCTAAAGAATGGTGTGAAATCCACGGATGTGGATATGATGGCCCAATTCGTCCAGAAGTCCAAGGCTGATGCTAGTAGTGTTCCTCCACCGCTCACTCGTGAAGACAGAGAGTTTTGTTTGCACTATGTTACGGTATGTTTGATTTTTGCAAGGGTCGCTATTAGCCAGTCTTTCTAACCTTCAACGTTACTGTAGATGATCTTTGCTGGGTGTGTGTTTCTTTGGAAGGATAGTCGCATGTAGGTCTTGTTAACCTCCACCCGTATGCCTTAGACACGATACAACGGCGTCAGGCTCCGCATGGACGTTCATCTTCCTTGCTCAGAATCCAGAGTACAAGCGTAGAGTCTACGAGGTAAAAATATACCAAATTAGAAGAGAACCACCGATTCGTACTCAGATTTTGTATTCAAAAATGTATGTAGGAAATCAAATCACTCGGATCAGCACCATTCACATACGAAGCACTCGAGAGTCTTCCCTTCTTGAACGCTGTCGTAAAAGAGACACTGCGATTACGTCCCAGTGCTCCGGATCTCTTCAGGTACATGGAGAAGGACAAGACATACGAGTGGATTGATGATGAAGGTGTTAAACGATCACACTTTGTTCCAAAAGGTGAACATCATAGTTCCCATCTGTGAGCTTTCTTTGCTGTTTATTGTGAAAACTCACCAAATGGTGCACTGTTGCTTAGGTTGTGAGCAAGGATATCAGCCCTACGTGATCCACATGCATCCTCGAAACTATGACAAGTAAGCTCTCAGTTGATTGTCTGGAAAATGAATTATGTCCTGACGACACATTTGTTTCAACCTTTTTTTAGCCCTACGAAGTTTGACCCCGACAGATGGCTAGATGGCAGAGCAAAGAACTATGACCAATACGCATACGTTGCTTTTGGGGGCGGGTGTGTGTCTCGTTGGGCAAAACCAGTTTTTCTCAATGACCTTCTAAACTTTTGTCCACCTTTTGAAACTTTAGACCACGTCGTTGCCTTGGAGAAAAGCTTGCACTTTATGAAGTAAGCTCAGCACCGTTTGCAGTGTTTAGCTCTTAGTACCCCTCTAACGTTTTGCAATTTTACACCTTAGATCAAGACTGTTGTATCGACTCTTCTGAGAGCCTACGATTACGAACTGGTAGAGGGTAGCAAGCCAGAATTTGTGAATGCTAGTACTATGAGGTTAAAGGATGGCTTATATCTCAACCTCAAGAGACGATGATCTAGTCTCGTGCCGTTCGGTTGTGTCTCTTTTTGCCTCTTATTTGCGTACTTTCACAAGACAATGCAATTCGACCACTTTGTTTTTAAGGTTTGAATTTATAAAAATCATCATACCAAGATCTGTTTTGTAGTTGATACGAGAACTCTTCAAACAACTTTTTGAGGTACTTGAAATTGCATGTTTACTTGTGCTTTTAAATATACTACTCTGAAAACAAATCAGCAAATATATAATCGGCCTCATTTATCTAATCGAGACACCGACATTCCTATGTCAAGCTGCATCTTCAAACCACATCTTGCAACCCAAATCTTGCATATTCAATGCATTTCTCTCGTCATCTGGCGATGGCACAAATGCATCTTCTCCTGCTCCAGTTTTATATGCTTCCAGTAAGGAGCGGAGGTGAGCAGCGTATTTCTATTCAAAACCAAGAAGTGTAATCAGAAAAGATTCTGGTTAGTTTCATTGGCACGATAGTGACTCACCCTGGAGAGACTGTATATTCGACCGACATTGTCGAGAATGGGCAAGCATATATTTACGATTTCAATCGAGGCTTCTTGCACTTGCAAGATGTGCCTTGGTAGCGTAAACTTTGAAGTGAGAATGATGGATGATAAGCCTAGATATTCGGGATAAGATATGTTGGTATTCAGCAAAAAAAAACCAAGTCTATGAACTGAAGACGTCGGACTTACGACAAATACAAGACATGAGCAGGGGGCTATGAGCAAGTATCATAGGAGTCATGGGAAAATCAGGCGATACAGGCACATTCCATGCATGAATTCCAGGCAGAGGTGGTCGAGACGGACCAAATGGCAAATGATTAATATCAAATCCATCCAATACATGTATAGCCTTGAAGTAGTGTATGGTAGCTCTAAAGCACACAATCAGCATATCTGCACTAGATATTGCCCTACAAGGATCCTGTTGCACTGCTGTTGGATACATTCGTACTGGGTCAGCGACTTTTCCTTCATGAAGCATCATGAGGTAAAGCATGAAGAGGGCAAACACTCCTGTAGATGGCGACACCAACCATTTTGGTGCTCTCGCCCTATCACAGATGATAGGGATGACCACCTTTGGTGTTTCCAGTCCTGCGAATATTTCGAGTGAGACAAAGGGTTGAAACGATGGAGGAAGGGCACTAAACCACTGAATAAAGTAGGTATGCACGGATAGTCGAGTGTGCTTTGGCGATAAGGCTTCCATTACGGGTGCTAAAGTTTCAAATCCTTGCGGTATGGCTTGCGGAGTATCCAACTTTTCATCTCGACTATTGACCCAACAAAAAAAGACCAGATTTGAGTTGATGGTATTGGCGAAATCAATTCTTGGCTGAGCTTACATCACTCCAATAACACATCTGCACAAAGAACATAATTCTGTACAATGTTGATTGGACAACATGATTTCGATACTTGTGGGTATGTATTCCATTTCCACGCCCTGTGACGATCGCACAAACAATGTGTTTTTTGGCTTTTGATAAAAGAAGACGACTTCGGACGGAGAAAGCACATTATTTCCCATCATTTGGCTTCGCACCCTATATCACAAAAGATTCGAGTAAGCGGGAGATCTTTGACTTCAAACATGCAGAGGCTTACATGTGATTCACGAGCTGTAGAGCGGGTTTGCATTCACGTTCATGTATGTTCGTTGGCAATTGCACGGCGACAGAGTAATATGTATCCATATTCAAACCTTGAGCAAAAGAAACTGTGAGTATGTTTAATTGAAAGACATCTGAACAAATCATGAATTACTCACAAGCCAGCCATAACCTTCTCTTTGTTTCAGCTTCATACAACACACTTCTTGGTGGCATTGTCTTGAAAAGCCTGTAATGAACATCCGTTTCATTGTGCATCCTCTGAGCTAGTCGTACAGCCATTGTGACATATATGAGACTCTTTGCTCCTGATCTATTGCCATAGTCATAGGTGGCAAGCACAATAAGAGCTTGAATAAGCTCCAAAGACTCCTTGGGGTTGCCTTGTAATGCCTTTTCGGCGTTTTTGGCAAACATATGAGCCGCCCTTCTCGGGCTGCCATATTTGGGACCGTAGAGTTCAGGATGAACTGACACCAAAGCACCTAAACACAGAGGATGTCAGAACCTTGGCATTCCAAAATATGAAGAGTTGATATCTTACCCATAGCGTATATCGACTGTAACAAAAAGTCAGGATGCTTGTTGACGGGGAGGAGATTTGTATAGAAGAGATGCTCATCGAAGATAAAAACGGTCCTGTAAGAGGCGTATTAGTACAGGAATACTTGTGTATAAAGAAGAAGGACATACCTGTGTATAAAGAAAAAGTATGCCTGAATCAGATGCAATTCGAGTGGCGATATAGAATATGTATATGGAGAGACTTCGCTGATTCGGAGGATATTTTGGATTTGCTTAGGGAACTCGTATTGGTCTTCTATTTCGGGGGTTGCTGAAAATACTTTGAGATTCTGGTGCAAGCCTTGAATTGGTACATTATATAAGGTGTCGAGGAAGAAGGTGGGATCTAAGTCACCAAGACGGGAATGCGTGAGTGCTCCCCACTTTTGCACATGGCAAACCCGCAGCTTGCTTACCAAATGCCAACCCACTTTCAATTTTATGAGACGATGATGATGCAGGCCAAGGTTCAGATGACCTTCTGCCATCGTCATCATCGTCATCTGCAAAGAGCCGATCAAAATGAGATACAGGAGACATTACTCTCTGAGTCATCTGCATCGAAGGCTCAACATGTTCAGTGGCAGAGGACAATTCGGTATCAAAGTCTCCTTCGAGCTCGGAAACAAAGCCGCTCTCGACGTCATTGTCATCTGTTGGTTGCTGTTGGTGGTAGTGGTTTGTTGTTGGGTTATAATCAAACTCGTTCACGTTCTCAAACTCTTTAGATCTAGAGCCAATCTTGACACCCTTCTTCCTTCCTCGTTCTAATACGCCAAGACGCGTTAGTTCGACTTCCTTTCGACGTCCAAAGCTGCAGATTTACCCACTTTTCGCGATAGGATATGTACAGGGGGAAGCAAGATTCTTGGCAGCTGCACAATTCGAGCATGGTTGTTGCCCGTTGCATTTCCTTTTCCTGACTCTGCATCTCTCTGTAAACCAAAATGTCGTTAGCTGAATGGGAGCTATTAGAGAACTAGTGGTCTGCAAAGTCCTGCTTCCGGAGCTTGTCTGAAATCAGTTGACTTTATCTCGGTGCTTGTTAACGTTCACGGTATCCCATACGGGGAGGTATCAAAACAGAGTGAGATACTTGGGTCTAAGATGCATCGAAGTGGGTTTGGAGGGTTTCGAGCTCCCTAGCCGTCACATTTGCCTGAAAGATTGAGAGCAACTAAAACCTAATGTCTTCAAATTTGAAGGCATGCTAGGTTTGATGCAGGCAAACTTGTACATAATATCCAAGTTCCATTCAAGCAATTCCAGCTTCAGTCTCGTCTAGCGTTTGGTGAGGGCTTGCAGACCACTAGGTTCGTTCACCGAAATTCCCTTGGACAAGTACTCACCACAAGCAATAGGAGGCCCAGCTTTCTTCATTTTTTTGCCCTTTTCTGGCGGCGGGGTGTCCATCGTCTCCATCGTCCATTGTCTCTCGTCATCCATCGTACCTCGCTATCCAAGCCCTTCTCGAGAAAATGGCGGACATTTGAAGGGTTACATGTGCTCACGTGCAACCACAATGTTTATATATTTTGCTATTCAACTTGATACAGAATGCGTCGACGGTTCAGAATTACGTACATTTTACAATGTCGGACGCAGCTGAAGGTGGAAAATGCTTAAACCTTTCCAACAACAAAGATTTTGCCTCCAAGCGCATCAAAGGACATGGTTCTAGCCCGTTTCCTTGGCGCTTTAGCTAGATTCTTATTCTGGGGCAGCAGTTGCTTAAGGTACGTCCCATATTGCTAAAGGGAGACAATACGATCAGGTCAATCATAACCACATGCAAGCCGTTTAACGTACCGTTCCAATGGCGTACAACCGTGAAGCATTCATAATGCTAGGCAGTACGATTTCTTCAATATCTCGGATAGCCCGATGTTGGCGTAAAATGTGATGCGGTTGCTTGAAGACCGTAGTTAATATAATGGTCGACATTCCTGTAGTAGACGACGAATTTGAATTAAAAATAGTAATGAAACAGAAACAATTATCAATATGAAAGCACCGAAAATAACTGAAGTCTCAGAGGAAATCAGTGACCTCTATCACCACAACACATATGTATACCCAACACACTTACGCGCAAGACTGGTGATAAACAATGGGCTCCGAGCCATCATCATAGGCACCATTGGAAACTTGGCAGACACAGGCTCATCAGCCTTGGCATACGATGGACATCTCGCTGAGAATGGCAAGCTCTCCACATCAAACCCATTAAACGTATACACGGCCTTGATCGAATACACCAATACATCAAACGAGATCAATATGAGATCTTCACTAGATACTAGCACAGACGTTTCAGTATATTCTATGCGATATTGTGGTGTCGGGTCTGCTGGTTGATGAAGCAGCATCAACATTAAGAGGGCCACGTCGATTCCGAGACTACCGGTATAAAGCCAGCTCAAACGGCTGCATTGTGACGTTGATGGGGCTGTTGGTTCTGGGCATCCCGTGAGGAACATTGCGAGAGAATCAAATGGCTTTTGGTTGGGTTCTAGAGCATCCAGCCAGCGTATAAACGTGTTGTGAAGCGCCATGACATTATAGGACGGCGCCACAGTTTCTAATACGGCGTTCAGTGTAGCAGACGAAGAATGCCATTCCGTTTCCATACTGTTATCCCTCTGTAGATCTATAACACAGCGACACCAAGACAGAATCTCTAAATTATGTTGCATCACGCGCATAAAGTCGGCGGATGAGACTTTATACTGTAGTGATTCAACGCCCTCGACAGAGAACGCCCAGACTGTATGTTCCGGTTTGGCGTAAAAGAATTCATTTAAAT